GAATGAGGAGACATTTGTAATTCCTTAATAAAGAATTTAAAGATAAAAAAAAGACGTATGTACAGAATTGGGGGGGGGGAGGATTGGGGCTAATGGGGGGAATGAGGAGACATTTGTAATTCCTTAATAAAGAATTTAAAGATAAAAAAAAGACGTATGTACAAGTTTTTGTGTGGTCATGTTTTTAATTTATTGGTTAAATACCTAGGAGTGAAATTGTGGGTTGTAGGATAACTCGGTTTATATTCTGAAGAACTGCCAACTGTTTTCCAAAATAATTGCACCATTTTACATTCCCACCCACAACTTATGACAGTTCCAATTTCTCTATATACTAACACTTGTTATTGTCCATCTTTTTACAATACTTTTATTGATTTCAGAGGGAGAGAAACATCCATGTTTTTTATTCAGCATTTTTTTTGTCTTTTAGTTCCGAATGAAATTCCCAAAGATTTTCTTCTCTTTTTTAAATTTATATATATCCATTTCCATTGCTAGCAAGATTTGTTGAATGAATTATACCATTACTGAAGTCTTTGGTATTTTCCCTATCCCTCTTTTTTTTTTAAACAAAGAACTATCTGTGTAGGGTGATTTTAGTAGGTTGGATTAGGTAACACCTAGTGGTGACTTTAAACCTTGTAATTCAAACAAAAGTTATGACAAAGCCTTGTAACCTCCTGTTATGTCCCTTCTAAAGCAACAAACTCATTGCTTCTCTTTGGAAATACATGAAACTTTCTTAGAGGGGCGCATACTAAATTTTCACAGACAGGACAAGTTATGCTCCCTCAGTACAAGTGGATTAAAATTTTTTTGATAAATTTTAGTATCCTAATAGAAATATTCCCTTCGTTTTTGCACACTTGATCTAGTACAGTTCATTAAATTTTAGAGAATATAAGTTAAACCACTCCACTATTTATGCGAGGAAACGCTATCTCATAGAAAATGGAGCTAGTGCCTAAAAGTCCAGCAAATGAGCCTGGCCAGTGTTGCTAAGTGGTTAAGCACCAACTATGAACCAGGAGGTCAGGGTTCAATTCCTGGTCAGGGCACATGCCTGGGTTGTGGGCTTGATCCCCAGTGTAGGGTGTGCAGGAGGCAGCCTATCAGTGAATCTCTCTCATTGATATTTCTATCTCTCCCACTACCTTCCTCTAAAATCAGTAAAAATATGTTTGTTTGTTTTAAATAAAGTCCAGCAAATTACAGTCAAAGTCAAAACAAAAATCCTGGTCTTTGCACTTCTTCATCCTTAACATACTGACTTGAGTCTATTTCTTTTATCCAACATACCTGTATTGTCATTGAATTTCTTGGAGAAAACAGACGGAATGGGAATATGAAAGTCAATGCTATTTTGGCACCAGCATCTTCACACACAATGGAATTCATACACAAAAAATTTTCAAGAGAAATAACAAGCAGCAGGGTGAGGATTTCAGAGAAACCACGGCTTGTAAGCCCAGCATCTGAACCAGCTTTCTTACAGACTTGCAAGGGCAAAAATAATATGTAATTTATGGCAATGGATCACACTGAAGTCCCCAAAAGACTTATGAAACTGTTCCATGAAAAGTCACCAAAGGTGTCCTAGGAATGCAAGTTGCAGATGAATGGAATGGCTACCCTTACAGATCTGCAATGGCTAGTAATATGTTTGAGAGCTGCTAATTATAAGGTAAATGTAAGACAATATGGTCATTATGTCTTTTAAATAGACACACACACATAACTCAAATAAGGAAGCAAAGGCCCTTCTGGAACAATGTTGAATCAGAAAAATTCAGGTGGTCATTGGTGTATTGTAGGTTACCGCACACATACGGACTGTATTGATGGTGTCTGTGATTTTACCAGCAAGCACTCTTCCTACACTCACCCCACAATCTTCCTGTTCCAAGCAGCTGGGATTAGTCAGATGTGTGATAGGCTCTTAGCTCCAGCCACAGTTCAAGTTTCATGGTCTCAAGTATGGTGGGATAAATATTAGGTTGAAGAACACCAACAGTATCCCTAGAGCAGTGGTCAGCAAACCGCGGCTCCCGAGCCACATGCAGCTCTTTGGCCCCTTGGGTGTGGCTCTTCCACAAAATACCGACTTCTGCACATGGGCCACGAAGTTTCAATCGCACTGTACGTGCGCGCCCACACATGGTATTTTGTGGAAGAGCCACACTCAAGGGGCCAAAGAGCCACATGTGGCTCGCGAGCCGTGGTTTGCCGACCATGGCCCTAGAGCATACCTGGAAATCGACAAGTCCTCTGGGAGGCAGTCCTCTGTATAGAACACACAAAGGCTCCCTGTAACTGGTCTTATCCTTAAGACACATTTCCTTATGGTCTGCTAGCACGTCTCTGGGTATGTCATCAGTTTGCTTTACAATCCTCTAGTGAGGTTTTGGAAGGTGGTATTGGATGTCATCAAGAAGACATGACCGCTAGTTGACCAAAAAGCTGGACCTGGGCCATTGGAGGCGCCCCACCTCCTCCCTTTTCCAGAGTGTGTATTCCTCTTGACTTCCCTGTTCCCAGCAGCTGCCCCAAGATACCTACAGCCTTGAGAGAATAAGATATCATTGAAACCCTGTGGATGGTATACACAACAACCTCAGTTAGGGCCTCTATATAAATTTCTAAGATTTGGCAGACAGGTGTATAGATGTACTCAGCCCTCCTAAGTTCCCTTGCTTTTATACCTGCCATCTTCAAATCTGGGGTGGCCTGCCTTTCTTTGGTCTCTCCCTGCCCTCCATATATAGGGGCCAGTTTCACATTATGGGGGCAGACGTTAACTAGACTTACTGTGGTGATCATTTCACAGTATATAAAAATATCAAATCATGTTATACATCTAAAACTAATATAAAGTTACATGGCAATATATCTTAATTAAAAAAAAATCGTGGGCCTGGAGACCTCAAGGGAGCCTTTAAATGTTAAGTAAAAAAACTGATCCTTAAAACCTTAATATATCTTGTCTACATTTTAATTATTAACACTGTAAATATAAAAATCACAGATTATAAACTGTACAAAGTAATAGTCTCCTGAACACATTTATATAGCTGATTACTAAAAACAAGTTATATCCATATATATACAGAATATTTTCTTTTCAGATTTTGTTTTAATTCTAAAGAAATTATTTTAAAACTAATTTGGATAAAAATCACATTCTATACAACAGGGAATTGTAATTACATGCAAAAACATTTCAAGAATCTAAATTATTATCATTTAAATATTTGCATAAAAAGTGACAAAATTCTTACCAGATAACTTTTTTTTTCCCAGATAACTTTTAAAACAAGAAGTAACAGATAGAATATTGCATAACTTTAAACTTTTTTAGATCATCAATATCTTTTAGCCTCTACTGAAAGGTGTAGAATTTTCCCCCAGAAAAATGCACATGCCAAAGCCTGTATAGGTACCGTGAGTATTCATTCTACATGTATTAGTTGAATGCCTACTGTCTCCCAGGGGTCCAGAATAGAGGCATAAGCTCTTTTTCCTCCTGGAGCTTACAACATAGAAATGAAGACAAAATATTTAAAAATACATAAGACAATGACAGGGTGTAATATATGCTAGAATGGATTTTGGTTTTGAGAACTTCTAATTTAGGACAAGGGGTAAACCTCAAATCTGAAGAGTAATCTATAATAATAAAAGTGTAATATGCTAATTAGACCAGACAGCCAAACGACCTTCCAGATGTCATTCTGGACATCCTTCTGGACGAAGCCATGGTGGTGGGGGCCGAGGCAGAGGCAGTTACGGGCAATCAGGCAGGCAGGCAAAATGGTTAGGGGCAATCAGGCAAGCAGGCAGAGCAGTCGGGGCAATCAGGCAGGCAGGGAATCAAACCAGCCACCTTTTGGTGTACAGAGGAGGGTATACGGGATAAGGCTCCAACCCAACCAACCAATGGAGCCACACAGGCCACGGCTGTTCCATTACTCTTTCTCAAACTGTTACCTCTTCCCTTTCTCAAAATAGCTCCTCAGCAGACAACAAGGGCTCGCTTAAGAAAAATGAATTCAACTATAAAGCTGAATTTTAAAAATTGGACCTATTGATGTCCAGATTAAATAGTTTTGTTTTTAAATCTAAACATTCTTTGTTAAAAAGAATGAAATTGCTTTGCCAATTAAAAAAAAAATACCTTTGCTGTATAAAATTGTGATTATATTTAAAATAAAAACATTTTAGTATTTATATATTCATCTTTATCAAATGTCCTAGAAAATTTGCCTTTAAATTATATTCAGATCATTGAATTAATTTTTATGCTGTCTTTGAAAGATACGTTATTAAAAATTACTTGTAAAGAAAACTAGTAATTTTGTAAGTCTGTAGTAGCATTGTTTCATATTAGATCTTATTATAATGAGTTTATGGAAGACCTAGTTTTTGCAATTCACACATAATGACATTTTTAAATGACAAATGAAATATCCATGAGTTGTGGTGGGTGGATAAAAAAAAAGACTATCCATATGTTTATTCTGCTTGAAAAAGTAGTTGTACTTAGTATTATGATTAATTCCTGAATTAATGAATTAACAGTCAACTAACTATAATACTGTTAGCCACAGATTTTACTGAAACATGTTTTATACATGAGTTTTTCAAAGAAATATTATGAAACTTTTTATTAAAAGTACAATGTCAAAATGATCATAAATGGAGCCCAAAGTCAACTTCAACCTTAAAGAATTACTTCAAAGTCTTCTATTACTGAAAACAACATGTTGATTTTGAATAAAATGCTTCAGAGGGAAAGCCTACTGGAATTGAAAACTCTAAACATATTTTATAAATCTCTACCAGATAATACTGAGACAAATGTATAGAAGGCAAACAAAACAAAACAGCCTGCAACCTGAATTTGGCTTTTATTTTTAAATATATTTAGCATGGAACTATCATAGAACAGAAAATAATAAAACAAAAAGAAATGGAATATTTTCAAATAACTTTAAAGCTAGATATAAAAATTAATAAGATAGCATGGACCCAAATTATAGGAAATAGTCCCTAAAATTTGATTCATTAAACACATTTTGAAAGAAAAGTTCTTTAAATGTTTTCCAACATACCAATATGTTCCCAAGTGCATTGGTTGCCTATTAATAGATAAAGGTCCCAAATTTGGTTGCTTTATTTAAAATGATCACATTCAGTATTGGTAAAAATTACCATGTCTCTAAATTCTCGATCAGAATTATAAAAATATGAGCTTTAATAGTTATACTGCCCAAAATAGAAACATCTTAAAGGATACTTCTGGATAATCAGATATTGCACTAAAGTAATTCCATACCTGATGCTCATTTATGGAAAGTTAACTCTCTTCTTTATGAAAAACTTACTACAAATAAACGTAATGTTAACCTAATTATAATTACACTTCAAAAATATAAAGGCACAGACAGAATAAAGAATAGTTTAATACTATATCAAATTTTCCTCTGAAAATTTGAAAAAAAAATAGGATCTAAATACTGATACTTTTTGATTTTATAATTTACCTTAAGTAACTAATAAGTCAGTATTAAAAGGTAACCGCTACACCCAATCCTTTCCAAATAATTTAGAAAAATGGTTTGTTTATATCTGAAGCTTGTGCATTGTCCCATCTATAAATTTCAATTACTTTTCCATTAACTGGAAACATCTACCTGTAGTATAAACAATCAAGACAATGTACAAAAAATATATCTTATTCCTATAACTTACAGTGCACAGAAAAATACTTACAAAAATGGAAATATTTGTCCATTTAGTTTCCCAATAAATTAGTGAGAAGGTTTAGCCCATTCCACATTTCTTTCTAAACAAAGGCTAAAGAATTGAGGGTGTTTTACTTCTAGCCCTGTTAGCTTAACATATTTTAAAAATATTTGCCCGATTACATGTAAGTTAAGATTAAGTTAGCATCTTATTTTTATATCACAGTATACATGGCATTTCTTATACGGCAAACAGAAAGGCACAATTAGCAAGCAATAAAATTCAGTACCTGAATTATTAAACTGATGTTCAGAACAATTGCAAATAAAGTACATTCAAGACAGTACAGAACTGGGGGGAAAAGGAATCCAAAAACTAATTTTTCTGAAAATTTGGTCCAATAAAATGCCTCCCATATTTAACATCATGGGTAACATGATGGCAGTGTAAAATGAGGCATAAATTAATATGTGGTAGCATATGAATTCTGGTCTAGTAATTATGCATTAATTAGGAAATGGCTCCCATAGTAAGTAAACATTAAATATATCTGTAATAAGAACATGCCTGTATTAAGTCCAAATACACAGGCACAACTGTTTGCATATTTATTATTGACTTTATAATACATCCCCCCCAGTTTAAAAATGTAGCTGTATTATTTTATATATAACATATATTAGATACATAATTGTATATTATGTACCTTAATATATATTATATCTTGAATCCATAACAGCACAAAACTCTCCAAATATTACATGAACAGTCTACATGAATACTAATCATATTTTCAGTGTTGAAATAGCTCAGCTCACCTAAACAATATCTGGATGTGCAATGGTAAAATGCACGAACTCATGAATTTACTTAATTATTTAAGTTAAATTCCTGCAAAAGCCTAACTCTGATTTGGCTTTTAACTAGAATATATTTTTAGAGATCAGTAACTGACACCCTTCTTTCTTATCGTAAACAATGTTTCTCCATCAAGAGATACCAATAAAGGAAAATATGTAAGGAGCCAAAAATGCAATAGAGAAACCAACCATTCCATAGGTAATGTACCGATAAGGGAGTTCAACTTCCATGTGCTGTCTTGCTTTTCGAACATCATCACATGGTATATTGAAGATTTTACAGGCTAAAGGAATGGTGAGCTTTTTCATTATTATTCTGACTAGTAGTACAAATACCATCCCTACAAGGATACGCAACATGGCTTTTCCAAGGAGAGTCACAGTAATGGGGGGCCTAACTAAAGGTAACGTATCCAGAGGAGGATCTAACATTAGACCCATGTTATAGGTAACATGAGAGCCACATGCAATTCCAGCACCACTTCCTAGAATCTCAGCTGTGTCTCCTCGGGATGTACTCCAGGTGTCAAGAGTGAAGGAAAAGATCCCCAAGGCTAAGTGAAGCCCAATGATGATTAATGGAGCATATTTGTGAGTTTGGTTGAAGTTGTCGATCAGGTCCACAAATGGATAGAAGATAGCTAAGATTAAAATGGTATATAGGAATCCAGCAATAATATCCTGGGAAAAGAGAAAAGTAGAGTTTTTAGTATAATACTAAATTTGGCATTAAAAATATATATATTTTTCATATTTCAAATGTTCATAAATACACATTTTAAAAAAGATGTCACTTTGTCAAAGTAAACTTTACTAACTGCATATAATGGGTACTAAAAACTTTTAATAATAATAAAAAAGACATTAAAAGAATTATGTTTTCATAGTTCTACCCTTTCATAAATTAATTTACAATGTAAGTTAAAAGTATATATAGCCCGGCCAGCGAGGCTCAGTTGACCTATGAACCAGGAGGTCATGGTTTGATTCCCGGTCAGGGCACGTGCCTGGGTTGTGGGCTCCATCCCCAGTGTAGGGTATGCAAAAGGCATAATTCTCTCTCATCACTGATGTTTCTTTCTATCTCTGTCCAGCTCCCTCTCCCTCTCTGAAATCAATAATAATATATATTTTTAAAGTATCCTATCTAATAAAAGACAAAAAGGGTAATTAACCGTACCTCTGCTACACTTCCCATCAGCTAATCAGGGCAATATGCAAATTAACTGCCAACAAAGATGGCGGCTGGCAGCCGTGCAGCTAAAGCAAGCAGGAGGCTTGCTTGCTCCAGTGATGGAGGAAGCCAAGGTTCCCCGCCTGCCGCGGCCTGCTCTGAGCCCGAAAGCAACAATGTTTCAACTATAGAAGCTAAACAAATACCCAGATACCTGCTTTCAACTGGCCATGGCCTCAGAGCTGGGAGCGCCAGTGACGGCAATG